CCTGGTGTTGGGTCCGTCGGACTTTGCGCAGTACCAGAGCCAGATAGCCGCGCTGCTGCAGACCAAGGCCCCCCTGGCGGCCACGGCCAGGAGGTGCCGTCGCTGCCGCTGCCCCAACTGCCAGGCGGCGGGCGGCACCCCCGAGGCAGAGCCCGGCAAGAAGAAGCAGCACGTGTGCCACGTGCCGGGCTGCGGCAAGGTGTACGGCAAGACGTCGCACCTGAAGGCGCACCTGCGCTGGCACACGGGCGAGCGGCCCTTCGTGTGCAACTGGCTCTTCTGCGGCAAGAGCTTCACGCGCTCGGACGAGCTGCAGCGGCACCTGCGGACTCACACGGGCGAGAAGCGCTTCTCCTGCCCCGAGTGCGGCAAGCGCTTCATGCGCAGCGACCACCTCGCCAAGCACGTCAAGACGCACCAGAACAAGAAGCTCAAAGGCGCCGAAGCCGGAGTCAAACGGGAGGACCCGCGGGACCTGTGAGCCCACCCGGGGGGCGACCCAGGCCTTCCCCGCCTCATGCTCCCAGCACCTCCTCCGGGGGCCTGTGGGCAGCTGGCTGAGGGGAGACCCGACAGAGACACGCGTCCTTCCTGTCCAACTCCTAGCCTCCCTGGCCCAGCCCGTGGACAGGGACCCTGTGCCCAGGAGCAGCAGGGGAGGTAGGGTTGGGAGCTCTGCGTCACGAAAGGGTGGTTTCAAGCTCTGAACCATTCCCACCGTCCTGGAGACCTGCAGTTTTGGGGGACTGCCTTGGGCTGGCCTTGTATATAGGAAACGCTGCTGAATTAGAGCGGAAGAACCTTGGGAGAGTTGAAGTAGTGCTGGGTTTTTTGTTAGGACAGGGCCGGGCTTTGTACAGGTTATTTAATAGCTTTGTTAAAGAATAATTATAATAATTACAATATTAATAAAAATGTTACTTTTGTCAGCTCCATGCAGAGCTACAGCATGAAATGTCTATGTAAAGCAATCAGCAGTTGCAGCGTGAAAATAAATACGTTAACTCCCGGTCCCCTCGGGAAGACCCCGCTGAGCCGGTCTCATTTGATCTTTCCTTGCGGGAGGCTTTACTAGGAGGTCAGGTTTCACCGGGAATTTGGAGGTTCCTGGAGGCTGCTGGTGCAGGAGGCCTCTTTGGTTTGGAAGGTTCTGGGGCAAGTGTGTTGGGCGCATGGATGGAGGAAGTAGGGCAGGGTCAGTTTTGTGATAAAGAAGATGGGGCAAGATTTTCCAACCACACCCTGAGTTTCTTACGCGGCCTTAGGACTTGGCGGGAGGCTGCTGGGCTTCTCTTAAAAGTCTGATAGATGCCGCTTTTACGACACATGTTCTTTTTATCTGGCGAATTCCCTGTGGCTTTCCATTGGTTGGTTCTCCAGAAACAGGAGTCACTCGAGCTTTGCGTGCTCTTGGCTGCCGGCTTGCTGGTGTCTGGAGAGGTCCTAGCGACTCACGGGTCGGTTCGCAGATGAGATTTTGGAGAGTTAGAGAGAAGCTGGGGCCCTTGTTCAGGTTGGTCTCTGCCCAGGAACGACATCAGCCCTGCATTTCAGCCCCGTCGTGGTGTACAACGTTGTCTTGCTTGTTGTAATCATTTTGCTGAGCAAATCTTAGGTCTTGTTTCACTGTAGCCTTGTTTCTGACTAGGCCTGGAAGTTTAGTTCCATTCTGTGTCTTGGGATTTTTTTCTTTTTTTTAAATCACTGAGGTAGACTACGATTTCCTCAGGGAGGGGCCAGGAATGGGAATATTCATATCTATCTTTCCAGACTCCAAAATTTGAAGTTTAAAGTTTACAAATGTTTATTCAAGTCTCAACTGGCTTCTTGATGTTTTCTAATATTTGAGTTTTTAAACCTGCAGTGGAAACCTTAATCTTCTAATTTAGCATTAGCAAAGAACAGAACCTTTCTAAATTTTGTTAATATGTTAAGCTAGCATCGTTAATGCCAAATTTCAGTGGAACCAAATAATCTTTTCGTGGTGGTAAAAGTGTATGTAAGTTGACAGGATTTCAGAGTTTACAGACTGCTGTCACCTTGCCTTTTGTTTGAAGTCAAAGTGAAGGGTTAGTTCTTAAAATCTGTGAGGGTTATATTTGATACTTACTGTATTAAGTAAAACACATGTCAACATAATTGAGATGAAAATTATAGTTATACTCCTAGGAAATAGCATTTTTACTCTGTTAACTTGGGACAAGGTAGTAAATAAATATTAGAATCATTGTGGAAATATGCCTTAGAGCCAGTTACTCTCATTAGAGATTTCTAAACTACTTAATGACAAATTAGACTGTCTTCAGGGTTCTTTACCAGGGAAAGGCAGTTTGGGTTAGCAAATTTTCAAGGATGTGGCAGTTTTTCAAGCAATAGGAATAAGAAATGCTACAGAGTAACATTAATATACATCTAAATGTGTAATCTTAATCTAAATTGAGATTCTTGGGAATCATCTCTATGAAGAGTTACAGAAACTCTCTGATCTGAGCCATGCCCTGGGATCAACTTCAGAGCCAGAAGAGGTTTTTTGGCAGATAGGGAAAGAGGATTCCTTGTTAGTGAAAAGACCAAGGGCTTTTGACTCAAAAAAGTTGAAGCGATCCTTTCATAAGAAAGATAATGCCCTTGGTAGAGAAAGAAAAATGGCAATTTTGAAATGAGTCTACTAGCTATTATTGACAGCTATGAACATTTAGTATCCAAACAGATGAAGTGTTGAGTATAGTTTTCTTATAAATTTAACTTTGTGGTTATTAAGAGCAAAAAATACATAAAATGTATAAAAAACTTAGTATCGAAATAGGTGAGGTATTGAAGATAGTTTTTTATAACTATAACTTTGTTATTGTTAAGAGAAACTAGGTAAAATATATGAAATTTATCTAAAAATACAATATATATAATTTTTAAAAGCAGAAAAAAGTCATTTGATGACATAACTTTATGTTTTCACATCATTGAACCTGCAAATTTTAAAAAGTATGGCAAAAGTACAGTCTCTAGATTAACTTTGCATAGCTGGAAAACTGTTCCTTATTGTACAACCACAAAGTCTGTTCCAGTTACTTTAGGAAAAAAAGTTTATGCCATTATCCAAGTGGAAGCCAGAAAGCCACAATAATCATATTTTTGTCCAAGTGTAGGAAAGTACGTCATGTTTATACTGAAAAATAAACCAGTAAATGCTCAGAAATACAAGTTTGCCTATGCAGAAATGTATTAGATTATATAAGATGTTAAAATTTAAACTGCTGTTACTGCAACTAGAGTATTATCTAGGACTTTAAAATTATTTTTAATTAAGTTAGTATGTAAGAAATAATATGCATAAATGATGGATTTAAGCACATTTAGCAGAAAAATTTATGAAATTCAAATTAAAAGAAGATCAAAGGCAAATTACTATTAAATATAAACTAAAATTTATTTTATATTTGGAGTTTTGCCGACATCAAAAAAGACAGTTTAATCTATCAACTTTTCAAGGCTTTACTTAAAGTCCCCCAGCACTCAATTTAATTAAGTTTTTAAAACTAGTTGAAGAAAATATGTTAACAATGGCCTCAAATGTCAATAGACACTTTACATTTTTTAAACAACTGTTTTAATAGTATGCAAATATAGTACAAAGTGTCATATTCTAGAAAATTCTAAAATTAGTGTGATATTTTAAATTTAACACTCAGTTGATAAATGAACCATTTTTTAAAACCAAGAACTTAGAAACATGGAGAAATTGAGTAATCAAGTAATTTAGGTAATTTGGAATTCTGTGTTTCTGAACTTGTTAACACTCCATAGTTTTCTGCTTTTCTCAAGGGAAAATTGCACAAATTTACCTTTCTTTGGCTGACTGCTAATTTGTAATAGTTCTGGTAATGAATGAAAGCAAATTGTATTAAAGAAAATACCACTGTTATTATTCACTATTATGTTAGCCTTTTCTAGTTTTGATTAGAGTTTAAATCTTATAACCAAATTATGCATGTTATACATTTTTTTGACATAAGTCAGTCAAACAAGACTTATCAGTTTAAAAAAATCATCTTGATGAGCATGCTTATTGCAGAAACGTATTTGAAACAATATTTACAGAAAAGGCAGCTTTTCACCCTAGTTTTCGGCATGTTTCTGTTCTAATACTGTGGGTTTCTAAGTAATCAGTGCAAAGCAGCATCTTCCATGTTTCCCATTACTTTGGTTTTGCTGTGAGAGTCTCAGAATGTTGCCAGGGCCGTAGCTATGACTTCAAATGTGTGTAAACACCTAGTGAGTTGGCTAGAGCTCTAAAGTTGCAGACCGCTTCCCTCCCATCCGCGCATCGCATTAAATATTGACACGCCGAGGGAAGCGCACAACATCTCACTGGGAACGGTTGCTGTGCAGTCAGACTCGGCCCTCAAGCTTTGTTTTATAGTAAATGTAATTAAGATTTCCTAACATTCCAAACTGAGGGGCTCTCAAAACATCATATGAATGTTCATTAATGTTCTATTCCGTATCATTACCTTCCTCTGGCTTGCATGATGGAGGGGAAACTAAAAGTTTAGGACACCAAATGCAGTATATGTGTCAACAGTTTGACAAACTAGGGGGAAAAATCTAGATAGAAAGCTGTATGTTAGTAAGGAGATATGTATTTAGATTAATACAGCAAAGGGCATGTTTCATTATTGGGCCACTGTAATGGTAACCTGATTAATGTGGCATTCAGTATACAGGTTGAGGCAAATGTAGGTTCACAGCTGTGAGTACGTGAAGCACACAGTTTATTCTCGTATTATTAATTACTATTTTCCATATGAACAACTGTAAACCCACTTTTGCCCCACCCTGTATGTAAACTACATTTTCCTCTGGTGTGTTCAGACTCAACAAATTCTTTGCATAAAGATCTATCTTTGTGTCAATTATTCCTCCCTTGGTTGTTTTTAAAGAATCTGCAATTTTTTGAATTAATTTATGGACATTGAGATATAATTTACATAACATTCCTTACTATAGCAAATAAGTGATAGAGTTCAACAAAGATGTAATCAAACATCTATGGGCCACCAAAACTTCTTTCGATAGTTTCACAGGTGTTTTTTTTTACTATTACAACTTACTACCAGTTGAATATTTGCACATCATGATTGATATACTATACATTTTCATGCTGGCATTTTGATGTCTCTAGTCTTCATATACTGTTCCTTCCATGTCTTTAGTGATTATGCTGAAGTATAATCCCCAATGGGGTATTTGACACTTAATCCATAATTCAGTCCCTACATGTGAACTGCAGTAGTTTCTACACAATACCTAATAAGCTATATTTTGGTTGTTCACCCAATATCAAAATTCAATTCAGGGGAAACAATCCAGTCTCTAATTTGATATATGGAAAATGTGCAGCGTTCAGTTTTCAAAAAGTTGTTTTATCATTATGGAGATTCAATCTGCCTATTATAAAATGGAAGTTTGTTTTACAACAAAGTTAATTTTTTCATCACCTATCAAACTTCTGACATCAAAAACATACTAAAATTTTCTAAAGTCTAAGGCAGTATCTTAATGTCACCTGATTTTTAGATATAAATTGTTCAGTCATACGGGTGCTTTCTAATGATTTTGTGTTTAGCCTAATCTAAAACACGGATGGAAAACATCTGGTCCTCAGCTTAGTTTCATCCAATTCACAGGCAAATATCATAGCTAAATCCTCATTTGTGCTTATATTTGGGAAAATGTGTCCTAATTTGAAAAGTATTTGGTAGCAATTTCCAAAAACTCCACATAAGGTACCACAAAAGCTTATTTCTGTCTTCGGGAGTTTTGTTCTTATATTTTATGTGCTGTTTTCTTTTTCCACTCTATATGTCTCTTTACTTGTGGATGTCATGTCTTCTGTGTATCCATGTTCATCTGTACCGTGGAAATGTGTCTGTCTCGCTTCCTTTCTTGATGTATTTATGTCCATTATTTGATTTTGCTCCTATTATGCAGAGTTTGACAGGATTCTAAACTCTAGTTATTTAAAATCTGTC